GGGGTCCCGCTGGGGTGCCTGGCCAGCCGGGATGAGGGGCTGATGACTGTTTGCAGGCTGGTCAAGCCCCCCAGCAGGGACCCTCACCCCATGGGGTTGTGGCAAGCCTGGGTGAGGGGCTGAGGGCCATTTTCAGGCTGGCCATGCCCTGCGGTGACCCAAGCTCCCAACCTCACCTTTTTTTCTTTTTTTTTCTTTTTTCTGGGATTTATTTATCTTCTATAATTGAAACTTTGTAGCCTTGAGCAGAGCTGGGCTGGCCAGGGCAGGCGGGAAGCTTGGCTTCCTCCATCACTGGGGGCAACCCAAGCATCCTGCTGCTCCAGCTCTGTGGCTGCCGCCATCTTGTGTTAATTTACATACTTGCTCCTGATTGGCTGGTGGGTGTGGCTTGTGGGCATGGCTTGAGCATAGCAGAGGGATGGTTAATTTGCATGTTTCTCTTTTACTATATAGGACTAGGGGCCCAGGGGACAAATTTGTGCACCTTAAAAGGAACTGTGGGCTGCGAGGCTGCGGTGGGCACAGAGGTGGGTCTCGGCCCATCCTCTGCACCGCTGGTTCCCTCTCTGCTAGCAGCCCCACTCCCACCACCCCCGCTGATGGTGTGGAGCGATTGGCGCTGGTGCCAGCAGCGGGTGCGAGCAGTGGCTCCCATGCTGGCTGCAGGTGCAAGAGGTGACTGCCAGCCCTGATCGCCCCTCAGGAGCAGGGGAGGTGGAGAAGCCTTGAGGGGCAATTGGGGCCAGCAGCCATTGCTTGCACCCGCTAATGGCACCGAGTGATTGGGGCTAATGCCAGGCACTGGCAGCGGGTGCAAGCGGCAGCTCCAGCACCAGCAGCAGGTGTGAGCAGGGCTGGTGCTGGCAGGAGGTGTGAGTGCCAGGCAGGACTGCATCACACAGGAGCAAAGAATTTTCAGGAACCACCAGAGGCTCGCCCTGATGACAGTGACTGGTGCCCTGCCTTGGTCTGGCATCCCCTCTCACCTGTTCTACCATCCCACTGTGGCTGATGCCTGGCATGTTCCACATGTGCCCCCTGGTGGTCAGGGCACATCATAGTGACCAGTTGTTTGGTTGTTCCACCATTCGGTCTATTTGCATATTAGGGTTTTATATATATAGATGGAGATTATTCATGATGATAGGTAGTAAATGTCATGACTATTATGTCTACAATAAAAACACCCAGAAAGTTAATGCTATTGAGTGGACAGTCTTTGAGGGGGTGTGTAGATGACATGTAGGCCTGAGACTATAGGAATGAAGGTAACAAAACTGAATACATTTAATATGACCAGGGCAGGAAGGAAAAATGAATTATGTGTTAGAGTTTTATTACTTCTTTTGTGGCAGATTAAATTTCATAGTTAAATTATTTTCATTGGAGCTACTTCAGCTCCTATATTCTTTTTTAGATGAGATTTTACGCTTTAATAGCATTTGTATGTCAGATAATAGCATCTTCGATGTAATAATTCATGAGATTTGAAATGTGCTTGTCAATTAAAGAGGATTGATTAAGCACTCAGAGCACTTGAAGCCTTTGAGAAAGTGTGTTAAAAATTAGATTTAGGCCCTGGTATAAAGATGCTCAAAGTGTTTATGATGATTATTAATTTTGGACTTGTGGTCTGTCTCCATTTTGAAAAAGATTGTGAAAACCTCTTTTAGTCACGAATCATTCAAAATTCTACTTAAGAAACATGATTTTCATGCTGCCAGTGTCATTGACTTATTCAAACTTTCCCTCAACAAATGGTTATTTTGGAGATATATATATATATATACCTTTTTTGTATTTTAAGTATATATATAGTTAAAATACAAAAAAGGTATAAGAGTGTAAAAATAAAGCAGCTTTATCCCTGAGATAACATACCTCTAACGTTTTAGTAACCACTCTTCTAAGCATTTTTATGCATTTATATGCTTACATATATATAATTTTATATAATTCTTGCTTTTTATCATGGACCAGGTTCTTTTTAATAGTTTTTTTGTTTGTTTTCCATCATTATTTTCTCTCCCTGTTTCTCCTTCTGTCCACCCAGTTAGCCAACTCTGTTCACACTGAGGTGCTCAGCAGCTTTTAATACACTCGTAGGTTTTCAAAAAGAATGTAGAAATGCATTACTTCTCTTTTCTCATTTGACAATAGTAAACCCCTTGAGTCAACTCTATAGACTTATTCTTTTTAATGGCAGCATAATATTCTTTCAATACCTCAAATAATCAACCATTCTCCGATTGAGATGTTCACTCTGTTTTTAGTTTTTATGCAATAGCTTCTGAATTCTTATCTAGTTTTAAAAAAAAACTCTTTCGACCATTTATGTATACACACACACACACACACACACACACACACACACACACATACACACACACATTACCAAGTAAATTACGAGTATGCGTACATCAGCTGGAAAGTGTGTTAACTCTTTCTCTGGCTTAACCTGCCTTTGGCTAGCCTGCCTCTTCAGATCATGGAATCAGGACCAAGGCAGTAACTTCTACCTGATGGAAACTTGCTCTGGTTTCTGGAGGAAATGAACAGCTTACCTATATGATGGAAGCAAATATGCCCATGATTATGTTTCTTAAATTGGCACAGCTAATTTTATTAGAGGTTGGATGATTAGACAGAGAACATATTTGAAGCATCTCTTTGGAAGACTTTGCTGGGACAGGAAGCAGCAGAGGAGGCCGTGCCTTTTCTAATTGCTTTCATGGAGGCCTGTAATTTATTACGATACAGAGAAATGCTCAATCTGATATTTGATGAGTTTTGACAAAAGCACCCAGCCGTGTAATCCACATCCGCATCCGCATCAAGATGTGGACTTCTCAGGAATTCCCTCCCACCTCTTGCCAGGTAATTCCCACTCTCCTACCCACCCCCGCCAAAGGGAACCATTTTTCTGATCCCTTTCGTCATTGATAAGCTCTGCTGTTCTGGAATTTAATATAAACGGAATGCACAGTGTTTACTCTTTGGGTCTGCCTTTTTTAAAATTTTTATTTTGAACTAAGTATAGATTCGATTCACAAGACGTTGAAAACATAGTGGAGAGGTCCTGTGTACCCATCACCCAGCTTCTCCCAATGGTGACATCTTACGTCACTAAAGCAAGAAAATTGATAGAGTGCAACACAGTTAATTAGAGTGCTCTGTGTGGCGTATCTTGATTATTCACATATTGTTTTTGAGATTAGATGAAACTTTTTTTTAAATCCTCACTCAATATTATTTCCATTTGATTTTTAGAGACAGTGGAGGGGAGGGAGGGGAGGAGAGAGAAAAAGAGAGAGAGGGGGGAAAAAGGACGAGAGAGAGAAACGCATCAATTGGTTGCCTCTCCATTCGGCACCTGACCAAGGCTGGGAAGCCACCCTGCAACCCAGGTACTTGCCCTTGACTGGGAATTGAACCTGAGACCCTTCGGTGTGTAAGCTGATGCTCTAACCTCTGAGAAACACTGGCCAGGGCAAAATGGCATGTGTGTTTTTGTCATAATCTTTGGTGTTGGTTATTAGGCTTGCTAATTTTTAATGATGTATTTGTTAGTGGGAATGGGGCAGCTATTTTCTACTTATGAAGTTTCCTGTATCCTGTGAAGGATACCCAGTAATGTATAACTAACCAGCCACTCGCCCAATGGGCATGAGACTAGGCAGGTCGAGCCTCGCTCTTCCCTTTCTTGGGAAGGAGCTACATATAAGCAACTCATTTTACCTCGGACTCTCCAGACACAACACGTCTGAAGATTTGAGGAGACTCAGAGGCCCTAAACATATAATGTCTGTGGTTTTGAACTTGGAAATAAGAGAAAAACCAAGGCAAACGGGAAAGGAGAGAAAGTGACCACCATGATTGAAGATTTGTAGTTTAAGCTGAGGCAGGCATGCTTTCTAACCCTGAACCCCCAAATTAGACTTGCCCACTGAGTCACAGTCTACTGCTGCCCCTGGAGGAGCAGGGGACACCTGTGCTCACCAACAGGAAGTGAGAGGTGGAGAGGGGCCAGGAGTATTACACCAAAGGAAGTCTCCTCACCAGAAAGGCAGATCAAAGGCAAGAAATAAGTATTCCTGCTCCTGCTATTTCTGGGAAAAGCCACTTGCTTTCAACTGCTGTCATAGCGGCTTCATCCTCATCCCTTCGTTGTATTTGTGTGGCAGTAAAGAAACGTCCCTAACTTTAACATGGAACTGGGAAAACCGGTGTAATCCCTTGGTAGTTCTTAATGCATTGCCTTTTCAGACGCATTTCCCTTACTTTACTGCATTGGCATTGTACATCGTTTATATCTATGTAGGCATCGAACTCTTACTTCTTTTTTTAATAAAGTATTTGAGATGGCTTAAAAGATTATATACAATAAAACAGTGGTCATTCAAAATGCCAGCTATAGTGATACATATAATAGCCACGACTAGAAGCAGCAGCCACCTACTCATTTTACCAAGGTAACTGATGTAGGGCAATAAATGGATATATAATAAACCTAGGCAAACGTTAGAGTCTCAAAGTAGGAC